GCATGATGTTCCTTTGATTAAAAATAACAACTTTTACTTTTTTAAAATTATTTTATCTCTATCAAATCTTTTGCTTTCACCAACCATCTACAATGTTTTCAAACTCTGTTCTTAATGTTGACAAGTTTATTGCAGGTTTCACCACTTTTTATGCTTCTCAAATTTATATATTAATCCAGACAAATAGTTAAATACAGCAAGGGTTTCATGATTATACGGTACGTTTGAGCTATCAATAACTTAGTTCAGGTTTGACTATTTTACATATTTTTTATTCTGAACTACAGAACATCAAATAAAATCCAGCAAAATAAAAAATCGATTTACTGTAAAACCATAAAAATAGGATTTTAATCTACAGTTACAAACCAAACACCAAAACTAGCATAGTTTAACAGTTGTTTATTTAAGCAGCTATACTGTATTTCTTACAATTTTTAGGTTTTCAAATCTTCACTGATGTGTTTTTAAAAAAATACTTTTTTTTTCAGATTATATTTACAATAAAATATATTTAAACTCGAAAACAGACATAAAAAGAGTCCAGGAACAATTTCTCAAACATCAAAGTCTTGAAACAGGTTCCATATATAAAAAGTCAGACAGAAAACTGTTGAAAATAAGAGGAGTTCAATAAATGAAGGAAAATCCTGGATCATTGTTTTATAAAAAAGATGAAAATTGGGATTGAAAATCTTTGCAATAAAGCAGTGAAGAGTAAAAACGCTTTACCTGCCCGGCCAACATCTCATAGAGGAGAACTCCATAAGCCCACCAGTCCACTGATTTTCCATAAGGCTGGTAAGCTATTATCTAAGAAACAAAAGAGACAAAACCCTCATAAATGTATAAATATATTTGTTACCATCAGACCTCAGACAGAACAGATGTCGGTGTTCTGTCAGATGAGCACATCTGGTCAGACCAGCATACCCAGCATACCCACAGTCAATACCTATTTATCCCTTTAGTATAGCCCCATTTATCCCTGTAGTTTTTGTATGAAAATTAGACTTAAAACTACCTCAACGGGCATGGATCCCTTTAGTCATGTACAAAAAAACTACTCAATTACTTATTTCTTGGTGATTTTTTTGAAGCGTATGGTGATCTGACCTTAAATTGTTTTTTTGTACATGACTAAAGGCATACATGTGAGTTGAGGGAGTTCAAAGTCTATTTTTCATACAAAACTACATGGATAAGCACAAATCTGATGTCTTGCGCATGCGTATTAACTATGGGTATGCTGGTCCGACAGGCTATGCTGATCTGACAAAACGGCGCCTCCAGAACCCCAGTGATGTTCTGGGTACGGCATCAGTGATGTTCTACGGTGTGGTCAGCAGGGGGTATATGGAAGCTCAGAGAGGGACAGGAGGAGAATTTCTAACAGATCAGAAGGGCTCCGTCATCCACTGTCCTTTGGGCTCCACTGAGGAGGTGGGTGAGAAGGGGATGTTAACTAGGGTAACAGTCATCAGTCATGGACAGTGAGTTCACCCCTTGAAGACTGTGGATGCCTGAAGCAGCAGACTGCTTCACCCACAGTGTAGGAAGCAAAGAGGTCATTCACACCTAATGATGTCAGACCGCTATTAATTGTGTTGTGATACTGTTTACTGCCATTCACATGTTGCTTTCTTGCAACTGGGATCAATTATCCTCATACCTAATTCATTTGTAAAGAAAGGTTGAAACAGCATCATAAATCCCATTTCATTTTCCTCTTCAATTGCTTTTTTAGATTTTTCTGCAGAGAAGTAAATATGAAAACTACAGGGTGAATAGATGAGGTCTTACATAGAAGATACTAAAGAAAAAATGAACAAAAGCCTTTTTTTTAATCCCAATCTCAACTAATCAAACAGACCACCCATTAAAGCCAGCGAGTTATTTTGAGCTGCGGTGACAAAGGCAATAGCTCCTACCATCCAATTTCCCATCCCTCCACACCTCCCTCCCTCCCACACATGCTCTACACACAGACATAATAACCCCACAGTTGCACAAGCATAGCGCTAAATTGCAGCTGCATTTGATTTTAACGCACAAATGTAGCATTTTCTACCGCTTCCAAATGGTTCATAAATTACACCTTGCTTCAAAAGCTTCCTGGATAAAGAAAGAAGCCTGAAATGTGGCTGCATTTTGGGCTATATAAGGAAATGGGGGCAAAATATAGTAAAGTACAGCACAGATGTACAAATCTAAATAACCTTTAATGCAGAAAAAAAAACGTAGTCCTGAGGATTTCACAAAAAAGTAAGCTTATAAAAAGTAAAAATGAATCTTTTTTTGTAAAAGCGAAAAGTCTAAGAAGCATTTAAACCTAGCTAGAAATAAATGTGAAGGGTCCTTTCGAAACATAAAGCATATTAAAGCAACAGAAGATGCATTAAAAAATACAGGCTGTTAAAAAAGAAATGTATGATTATGCTGCTTAACAGGATGTAATAATTGCATTCATTCACACTAAAAAAGCTTCAACCTGAATAAAACAAACCTGCTTTAAAAAAAAATTTGCTCATCATCACAAATAATCCATCCCTTTATGATGTATATGTTTTCTATTATTATGTACTGCTTTAGTAATTTATATACTTTAAACCAAATAATCCAGTGACTCTTAATGTTTATTTTCTTATTTGATAGAAAGTCAGTTCTGTAGCATTTTAACAACACGTGATAGTAGCAGATTTGCAAATCTTATTTGGCTTGCAGTGATTGCAGAGTGACCCGTTGTTCTGGTTTTTATTAAATCTATTTTTTTAAGCACATCAAAGTTTTTACTTGGCAACAGAATACTTAGTGTGAAAGAGAACGGCAATTTCATCTTTATTTTTCCCCCCGGGCGTCTCACCTCAGGTGCAATGTAGTCCGGGGTGCCGCAGAAGGTACGTGTGGACATTCCTTCATACAAGTTCTCTTTGCACATGCCGAAGTCTGCTATTTTAATGTGGCCCTCACAATCCAGCATCACATTATCCAGCTTCAAATCCCTGCAGCACAAAAAGCTTTATGAGAATTTACATTACTACCTTTTATTACATCCTATTGCTTTTTGTTACCCTTAGAAAAAATCATGACATGAGACATGAATTAAACATGAAGTTAAGGCTGCATTGAATTTGACAATGAACTGAATAAAGCTATTAGGCAAACTATTCTATAACCAACGCCTAATGGATTTGGATCAGTTGAAAAAATTCATCTAAGCATGACCTCTTACTACTGACCTCCTTCATCTAAAAAAACATAACAGATTTAATTCCAAAGATTCTCTGATAAGTTCTAAAACTATGAAAACAGACCAAATCTAACCAAATCTAAGCATTATTTCTTGTTACCGCTCCTTCAAATTGTTTCCTAATCTTCTACTCTACCTGTTCCCTATGGGCGTGTTAAACAGTCAGTGTTTGACATCATGGTAAACACAGAGTTTTTTTAAATCTAAAACTCCAAGAACCCACCTGTAGATTATTCCCTTCCGATGCAAGAAAAACAGACCAACTGCTATTTCAGCTGCATAAAACCTGCAAAACAGTTAAGATTTTTCAAAACAAAGACCTGAATTTTAACAATTATATTGCTTTGCATTCAGTTCCACTTTGATTCCACTTTCCACTTTCCTTTCACTTGTCTAATATCACAATGTATTTATTGTAAAATATAGAGACAAAGCAAAATAACAGATCTATTCTTTGTACAAAATGACCTAATTGGTGAACATATATATTTCTTTAGATGTTCCATGTCTTTTAAAGAAACAGATCAATGTAGGGGGAATGTTTTTCTGAATGAATAAACCAGGCTTTAAAACTTTACTAATAAACCAAGGTTGTGTTCTTTTATAATGATTCAGTAAAAAATCTAATCCAAATTAAGTCTCTTCGTTCTCTTTTACCAACAGCTTCAATAGAGGAAAATAAATTTTTTGATTCTTTTAGTTAAATTTTTTTCCCCACTATTAATATATGATAGAAGCTCAACCATGTCTATGTATGTGCGATAAATGTTTTCATATCTGTAATAAAAAAGTATAAAAACATTAATATAAAGTATTCAAAACCTTGTTTTTTAAATATGCATGCAACTGCACAACAGAGTTCATCTGGAGGTTGAAGCTGCCTGCAGAATATTATTTGTGATTTGAAATTATGTGAGTGTGCATATTTCAGAGAGATTTCTTACACTGCCTGTGGCTCCTTAAACTTGCCCATACGCTGGATATGATACATAAGATCTCCTCCGTTAATGTACTCCATCACAAAGTAAAGTCGGTCCTATAATACAACAAATAGCAGATGAAGAAATGTGCAGCAGGTGATTTCTTATTGTAAATCATTTCAAAAGCTTAACAAGTACACAGCAGAAAGTAAAGCAAAGAGGGCTATTTTTATATTTCTAGTTTTTATTTAAAAATCTTCAGCCTGTCCCTGCACTTTCAATTTTCCCTGCAGGGATGCCAAGAGTGGAAAGAGTACAGAAATGCTGAGCACAAAATAGAAATGTAATAAGAGTTACACTGCTTCCTTTTAAATAGTTTTTTTTTCTGGTCTGTAAGAACACGCTGTCACTGCAGGAGGCAATGTCAGCTATATTAGCTGTGACGACAGCAAGCTCAAGTATTTTGTTTCTTTAACCTACCACAGTTTGAAAGCAGGAGTGGAGCTGTGTGAGAAAGGGCGGCTTGTCTCTCAGTGCCAGGACCCTCTTCTCCACCATTGTACATTCCACGTCGTCGTCCTGGATCACCACGTCTTTCTTCAGGATCTTTATGGCATAAAGCTCCTCTGTGGACTTCATCTCTGCCAACATTACCTGCATTTGATAGGATCGGACCAGAGAGTTTATTAAAAGGCAAAACTTTGGTTGTTTAACTTAAAGTTCTGCTGATGATCTTATAATAACTTAAATGAGTTCTCACCTTTCCAAAGCTGCCTTTTCCCAGCAGGGCCAGAAAGTTAAAGTCACTAAGCCGGACCCTGTCCATGTTACCTGAGGGCAGACTGAACCGCCGGTGGTCTGTTGGTGTGATCACCTTTTTACCATGGCCTAGCTTGGCTTTCTGGTACATACAATACACACAAACATAGAAAAAAAGGTTACAAACACCATTTACTAAATGTAGGTGTTTTAAATACATTTATTATCCTTTTCTATAAGATAAAAAAAAACAAGATTTCCACAAACAGTGAGTGCAGGACACGTGCATCAGCCATTAGAAGGTTAGACAAGCTGTTGATGCCGATCCAAAACAAGGATATATCCAATACATGAAATAAGATTTTGGTTGAAATTGATTAACTTAATAACTTGTCTTTGAGGAGAAGTGAAACCATTAAGTTAAGAAAAATCATAAAAAATAATTTAAATTGCAGCTAAACATTTCAAATTTTACAAAATACTATAAGGAGACTGACCAACCAAGATAAGTGAAAATTGTTAGGTAGGAATTTAAAGAAGAACCAAAGAACTAGAGTTATAACCCACGATCAACTCAGACAAAAAGAGCGCAGAAACAGCCAAGAAACCAAGAATGACTCTGCAGGAGCTGCAGAGATTCACAGCCCATGTAGAGTGAGCATTGTCAATGCAATCAAATCTGGCTCTTGCTAAAGATTTTCAAGAAACGTATCTCTTGCTTGAAGCAGGCCAAATCAGATCAGATATGCCCAAAACCTCTTTGCTCATATGCAAAACATTATGTGTTAAAGCAAGCTAACACATAGCCCTCTGCACAGCGTGCTCTTCATCCATCTCTATGATCTCTTATACCAATCCTCCAGCTCCTTCTGGAGGCTCTTTACAGCTTCAGATGGGATTCAAGATCTTTCTAGAGAATCTTCTAACATGCTCTTCCTCAAACCATGCTTTACAGCTTTTACTTTTGTGACATAAAATCACATAAACTCCCAATAAAATACACAGGTTAGAATTGGAAAGTGATAAAAAGTGAAAATATTCAAGGGTATTGTTTGTCAGCTTTTGCAATATAATGAACCTACTACCTTCTGTTTTTTTCCATCTGACTATGTTGTTGTTTTCTTAGACATCCTCAGACTAAGCAGCATCTTACTGTTGATGCCCTTTAGTAAAGGTGTCAGACGGCACTTTTAAGATGCTAGGATAATGATTAATTTTCTAAACACCTTCAAATAGATTGTTAAAATTAGACAGATATGACTCAGAAATGGTGCGCCAATGAGAGCTGTTACCATGATAAACAGGAAATTCAATATCCCACACAATAAATCTAATCAACAGAGGTGACATGGCATAGCAGCTCCTTAACAGTACGGCTTTAATAAACATTGACTATAAGGTCTTGGAAAAGAATTCAGTGAAAATGCTTTTAACAACAAATAAGATTGTGTTTTAATGTCCAACAAAAAAGTAGTGCAGAATTGTTAGTTGTAAAATTCTGTAAAAAGTAAAATCTGAAAAGAGTTGCATAAATCAAAACCTCCAGTGTCAAAAATGCAAAAATCATCTGCCACATTTAGAGCTGTAGGTATTTTGGCATGTCCCTGGAAAGGAAGACACCTAAAATTCAATGTGCTTTGAACCATTAATTCACAGCTCTAGATTTGTGTTTATTAAGTTCAACCTTTACCCAAATCTTATGTCTTTTGCTGCTTCTCATCATTTCTCATTTAGTATCACCCTGTAAATAGCTCAAACTATTGTATTTACCCATCAACTGCACAGCAGGGTGAAATCCCCCTGACCCTACTAGGATGGGGGACCTGACCTGCCTAAAAATCTATCCCTCAAATAGATTAGAACAGAATAGAATTCAACTTTATTGTCATTAGACTGTCACAAGTACAAAGCAACAAATGTCTATACATCTATCCAGAAGTGCTATACAGGATATAAATATGTATTTACATGTGTACAGAAACTATATGGACTATGAATGGTATATTTACAGAGAGTAATTAAAAATTGGATACAAAATAAATAAATAAATATGGAGGCAATTAAGATTATACAGGTAAGTCAGGGTATGGATGATATATATATATATATATATATATATATATATATATATATATATATATATATATATATATATATATATATATATATATTAGTGTGGTTATAATACAGGATAAATAATGACAGATAACAGCAGATAAAATATTTACTGATAATATAATAATAGTTATTTAAAAAGGTATTTCAACCACTAAATATATATAATTATAATAGATAAACCAAAACTTCAGCCTGCACCATATAGTTACTATGGGTGCAGGCTGAAGTTAATGTTTTGCCTTTTATGTAGACCACAAAAGTGAATGCAGAACACCGTTCTTCTATATTTATCATTGTCCTTCCACTTCAGTATTATGCACTACTTTGTGTTGCTTTAATATATATTAATTCCAATGAACAGAATACATATTAGTGGTTGCAATTTGAAAAGAATGAGAAAGAGTCCGGTGGTTGAAATACCTTTTTAAAGCATCAAATGTCGATAGATGTCAGCTTATTACTTATATCTTTAACTGTTGCATTGGGTCCAGATTTCAGCTTCTGTCATTAATGCTCAAGCATCGACCATAATGAGGCACTTCAAGTCTCCCAGTTCTTGACCCTTCAGCTTTTCTTCCCTCTTTCTTATCACTTCTGTAGTATTCTAAATAAGACCAAAAATATTTGGAATAACAACAGTTCAGATGGCAGTTCTCCAGATGAAAAATCTTTGAAAGTTTGACTATTTCTTAGAATCAACTCAGAGAGTTCACATTACCATATTTTTGTTGCTTACACCAAGCATACGCAATGTCTTTAAATAAAAACAAGAGTGTTCTTTATGATATTCTGTCTTTAAAATCCTCTAATTAGAGTGCACTTTTTTATTTGAGAGACACCTAGTGGTCATTTCTGAGATATAACTTTAATAGTAAAAAGAAGGGATCTTTCTTAAAAAACTATATAACTTTTAACACAACCCACATCAATAGTTTCAATTCAAACAATTACAGTACTTTGACCATTTCCTCAAACCAGATGCAATGCAGCCAAACATGAGTCACACACGTACGGCATACTGCACACACAGCAGGCAAACTCAGAACCTGTGAATATACAATCAGGCAGTTACAATAATCAGTGTTTTTCCATGCTTATGGCCACACAGCCTTCTATAGTCCTCATCAGACTAGTAGAAGGAGGACAGTAATCACCCAGTGGGGAGGGGGATGTGGATCTATGCTGGCCAGTGGCTGTGCAGTCCAAGGTAAGGATGCTCCAAAACCAGAGGCCAGAGAGGACCACAAATTTACTAACAACAATGCTGTTTGGTTTTCATGTGTTTGATAAGAAGTCCTTATGTATTAACAGTTGAAGCAGTGTAGCTGTTAGAAACAGCCTGATTAGGATTGTTCCTGTCTGGATATATACATATTTATGAGCATCATCTGTTTATACTACATCAATAAACTTTTATACTGTCCGTTAAATCTGAACTAAGGGCCAAACATCATCATATTTAGAAGCCAGGAACATCAGAAAATGTAAAATCAGCCTCTTAGTTCTTTTATTTCGTTTAAAGCAAATAAGTAATCTATGATACAAACATTTTAGTCACACCCTAAAAAAAAAAAATGCAAAAGGGTGAATCCATTGTTTCTGTACCGTCTCTTTAATTCACCTTATGCTGTTTTGTTCTGTTGATAGTTATAGGTTAATGTATTGCATTTGTGGAAAAAAAAAGATACTTTAGGGGGTGATGTGTGCTGCTTATTGTTGACACAGATGATGGTTATAGTGAGCTATTCCACAGCAAAGATCATTTGTCTCGGCAACTTGGATGAACTCTGTAGAATAAAGTTGATGAAGATGTTTCCAACTCTGTGATAAACCACAGAAACCAGTGGATCAGTGCATTATTATTGGATCAGTTCTGTGTGTGCAGTATATTATCTATTTTTTTTATCCATCATGTATCCTGTTTTTATAAATATCTTCTAATGTTTAAAGATAAAATTAAATCGGTAATCAAGCTCTCTTCCTGCATCTTTTTAGCATGTTAAATAAATACAACCCTGAGTTGTTGTTGTTGTTATTTTTCTCTGTGCCTGAGTCAAATGGGCAACAGCTAAATTAACTGCACCTACTGTCTGGTAATTAGTCTTTTAACTTAGAAAAAATACATATCTTAGACTAACTTTTACATGTTTTCAGAAATCTCAGTGGAGACCAACTTAAATGGGTTGAGTGCCCTGACACCGTAGAATAATGTTTGGCTGCATCAGTGTAGTGTAATTAATCTCTAACAAGAATAACAGATCTATTATCTGGAGAAAAATTAGACTTACAGAACAACTTCATGTCTAGCCAGTACAAGTAAGTGTATTTTAGTCACACAGGTGAGGGAAATGGGAACACTGACACTTGTGCATGAGTGTAGCAAATCGGCTTAGATTAGAGGGAATTGCAGTATTCATAATTATCCAAGTTATAGGAGATGGTTCTAAGATGGTCACTATTTCCAACGTTTTGATTTTTTTATGTTGTGTAACATATGTCTAAGTATTGGACAAAAAAAATATTCTGATAAAAGCTTTAAGCCTCCAAATCGGGGAACATAAAAATAAACAAAAAAGATTACTTGTGCCTTTTAAAGGTATAGAGGACGATCTTTTATTTCCAGGGTGGATCATCTAAATAAGTGGTCCTCCTAATTGTCAATCATTTTGGTGTTATATGATTACGTAAGGCCGCCCTGCTTGCTCACCCCGTTAGCTATCTTTTTTGCGCATGAACACTTGCACACGCTGTCGCTACCCGACAGTGGCAAATAATAACAAAGATGGAGCAGGCACCCCGCGGTGGAGGAGGAATAACGTATACAATGGAGTGATCATCTGTCCTAACGGCCAGTTAACTGAGTTTACTTTAAAGTCCACTATATAGCCCCCGCTGTATGTGGATACAGTTTGTATGGGCTATGAGAACAGCACATTTTAAACAGGGCGTGTATGAGAAGGAACGGGCTCGTGCATTTTTTTTTTAAAGTGGAGAGGGCGGGTCGTTTAAAAAATCCTTTACAATACCTTTAAGCTTTAAGCTGTAGCTCTTCAAAAATGTTAAACCAGTATCATCTCGTAGGAATAGTACAAACTGTATCCTCACCCTTTGCCTGTTGGTTATTCTAAAAATCATCTTTGTCATTGATTGCTGCTGAGAAACTAGGACCTCAAATCTGCTTTGAAAATTCATCCTTTAAGTACTTTTGAACAAATTGTGAGCTTCTTTGAATGTAAACAAATGTGGTACAATAATATCTTATCTTTCATTTTGACCATTTTGAATTTCCTCTCATAACAGAATTCAATTTTATATTCTATCATCATTATCTGACAGAAACAGTGCATACATTTGTAATATGATTAACAAAAACAAATGAGTAAGGTGCAGGTGTATTCTTTGCACGATGGCCTTTGTTAGTAAATCAGATTAATTTGTGGAGTCCAAGCAACAATCCACAAACAATCCCAGTACAGCAGGGGAATAAGTGAAAAGCAAGCCGAAAAACACGAGAGAAACAGAAGCAGCAGGCAGGGGAGCTACCTTGAGATAGTGGATATTTAACTGGCAGGCCTAGAAGAGAGAAGAGACTCACCAATTAGTGGGCTAAACAATTAACCTAAGTGTGCAAGTCTGAATGACACACACCAGCAAAAACATGAAGTTATTACTCTGATGACTAGAAAATATTAAACCATAAAAAAAAAAAATCACATCTTTTGCATCCCAACCCTAGTTTCCATGGCAACCAGCGGTTGTGTGAAGATGTCAGCGACAAAGAAAGCCAAGGTTGGTCGGTTCGTACAGTATGAAGAAAAGAAGCAAATTAATACTCAGTTCCTGAGGGAGTGCTGTGAGAAGAAGGCATTTACATTTAGTATTAAACCCTGTACCCCTCACACACAATCATTTCAACAACACACCAACCTTAAGAGTTGGAGTTCCATGAAATTACCTTCTGTCTCTCACAATTCTTGTGCTTCTTGCATAAGTCCCAACAAGTTCTGAACTCCTCGCTATAGTACCCCAGTAAATAAACTCAGGTATATGGAGAGGATGTGAGTTTTAATCAAGATTGGATTCTGTACAAGCAACCTCACTGATCTGCAGTTATCAAAGCAACCACTAGAGAGCAATAACAGGCTACAGTGTGTCCTTTAGATGCAATGGGAAGGTTCTGCAAGTTTATTTTTCTAGTGATTAAAAAAACATGAGAAGCAGGTGAAAATTTCGCTTAACAACAGATATCAATTCAATAGACTATAGACTCTCTCAAATTTTATTTTTGTTGAGAAGTAATAAAGAGAGAGACTGCAGGAAAGCAGAAATGAGTCTCCATATGTTGTGGGAAATGTTTTGAAAAAAGGCATGTGAATGGGTTAAACCTCTAAAATCAATGAAAGTGACCAGTCTTGAATCCAGATAGGAGGCCCCCTTAAACTTAGGTGCAACATTTTCAGTCTTTCAGATCTACAGTATGTAAGCTCTGTTAAGCATCCAGTGCCATTTAAAGTCATACCTGGTAGAGATTTAAACCCTTAAAATAAATGCATCTTTATTGCAGCTGCATCATTTTGCACGGAAACCTGTTCTAATTTTATCTATTTTTTTTACTTGTTCAGTGGAAATACAATCAAAGTAGCCATTTACTGCTCCACCTTCAATAAAACTCCCTTTTGGAAAAACAACAACCAAAAAAAAGAAAAACAAGTACCTAACTTTTCCATGACATGACAAGTTATAGTATACCGATAAAATTATTTTTGGCAGCTCTTCTATGAGCAAACTCTACATATGATCATTTATCTTTTCCTGCAGGATTATGGTCTATGGATTTAGCAAAAGTTGATTTTTCTATGCTAGTGAACAATTTCTCTGTTGACTTGGTTATAAAATGAGAAGTCATTCTCCCTTTATTAATATTTAAATAGGGCCTTTCCTGGCTTACAATTGAGAATAAACTGCTTTTTTATGCACTTATGCTGTTTAAGTCAGTTTTTAGTAGTAATGTTCCAGCTTTTATCGTTTCAAAAATTGTTTTTAGTATTTCTGTTCATGATCAACACTAGAGTTTCCCGTAAAGGGCAGCTTGTTTTACCAGGTCCAAAAACCAATGCTTTAAAGATTCCTTTTATTTATATAGATCATTACGTCTTTGGAATAATCTACCTCAATACATCTGCTGCAGTTGTAGCAAATAATCTTTTTAAAAAATTCTGAGACTCCATTTGATGCCCTGAAGTGTTTTTGTTTTATTGGGTGTTTTAATTTACTTTTTTTTTGTGCATTCTCTGATCATTTCTAAACTATTTGTTAAGAAATGAAATTTTTGGAAATGTAATATTTTGTGACTGTGTTTTTTATTGAATGCCTTTAATTTGGGCCCCAGTAGACTAGCTGTTTGCCCTGGCAAAAGCTAATGGGGCTCCTTAATGAAATTACCCCCAAAAAGAAACAAAAAAAACAATTACAAGAAACCATAGACTTTAAAAGAGAGAGCCCATAGTACCATACATACACCTCTGTACTTTAAAGTGAGCTTAAGTTTCCTTTTCATCCACTTATTTGTGGTTTGATATGAAAAAAACTATTGTTTGCTGTTAAAATCTCAGTTTTCATCTGACCAAAGTATACAGTCCTACCATAGTTCCAAAATGTTAAAGCAGAGTTAAACCAAATCAGAGCTTTAATGGCTGAAATGTAGGTCACTAATGTTTTTATAGAACCTTGGTTAGGGGTATTACAGAGGTTTGAACCTTCCTATCAATGCTGCTTACAGTTCTTTAATGGTCACAAGATCAATTTTAGTCCTCAAACCACCTAGTAGCCGGTGACTATAAGAAATGGGCAAATTTTTCACGTCATAATTGTCTTTATTTCAACGCATTTTTTACTCAAACTTATATCCCCTAGATTGAGCACAGCCACATAACAGGGAACCCCCGTACACGATCCATTATATAACTGGGATTGATATCATTTTGGTTTATTTTGTCACTATAATATTGAGTATAAATGTGTAGTAGGAAAGGAATCTATGGTACAGCCTTGTGACAAAACAAATGAAGCTCTTAAAGTTCAATCAATGACGTCAGCCTGCAGTGATAAATAGGCTCATCTTAGAAAAGGTCAGAGTTATATCCAATAATCTATTATCATCATTATCTTATAAGGATAATATGTATGATAACTTGTTGAGAAGATATGTTTCAGTGAGTGACCTCAATATTTTTGCATCTATCTAGGTTATCAGTAGTGACAACCCTAAATGTCAAGATGGCTGCAACTTGTTACATGCAAGTTTAATGAAACTTTAATGGTGTGTCTATGATTGAGAGTAGATGCCTTTTTGCTTAAGACATTTTATACCGGGTTCCCACATTAATCTGCAGCAGGACTGACTCACACTTGCAAAAAAAAAAAAAATTAAAATAACAGATAATCTAAAGAACAGCTTCCATTCTAAGTATTTTACTTCATTTTTGTCACCATCTCTGTAGCACTTGATAAAAGAAAATAAGGGTATAGGATGATGTTTCCATAGCGACAAGAAAGAGAAGGACCTTATTTGTTAAAGCCCATATGAGCAGCTGAAAAAGACATTTGAAAATTATTTTTTTCCTTTCTCTTTAAAAAAAAAAAAAAAAAAAAAAAACTGAAATGGCTGCCCACCTCAAACTTTTGTCGAAGCTCCAGATTGACGTCGTCTACCTCAGGAATGGGAACATTGTAATATTCTCCTTCCTCCTGGTTTAGGAGCTTGTACCTAACAGAGCAGAAAGGGGCGAGATAATCTTATTTCTTTAGCAATATTCTTTCATACCTGAACATACAGACTAATGTATTCCAATTAATCTTTGAATTCTCCCATCTGTCCTCCCACTCACACTTAAGTCTTTATGCTTCTGCTCTTTTTAATTACAAGTACTTGATTTCTATTTTCTGTATGTTTGCAGGGCTCTACTCTTTTGCTACATTGAGCTTGCTTCTAATTAAGGTCTAATGAAGTGTCATTTATAGGAAAGACTGCAGCTAAACACCCAAACAATAGTATTTTTTAAGCTGTCTGCCAACATTTGACACTCTTGTATTTCCTCAGTTTCCTTTTGAGCAGAAGCTGTTTAAGCTAAAGCAGGAATGCTAATCTTGCTTCAAAGTGGGAAACAGCAGATCTACAGAGAGAAGCAATTGTCTCCAACAGGTTGTTTCTTAGATATTCTTTTATCTTCATACCAAACACGGGGTTTAAAATGATTAAAGAATGATTGTGTTAATTAAAAACAGACAAAATTGGTGTTCTTCTGTTTCCATTATGTTGTAAATTACCTGAAAAAGTAACAAATGTCAAATCAAACTGGAACTTTGTGCCAAGTTTGTCTTTTATGGACTGAAACTGGTCTAAAAAAGGAGGAGAAGAAAGGCCTCAGAAGAGACAGATATGTCCCAGAATGCTTTGCGCGGAGAGCTCTCCTCGCAAAGCATTATGGGATTTACCGTCAGAGTGGCCCACTGTTATAACAGGCTTTCACTACCGACAGTGGCGACTAAAAACAAAGATGGCGCAGGTACCACACAGTGGAGGAGGAGTTACGTGACCTACAGGGACCAAAAAACAGTGATCATCTGTTCAAACGGTCAGTTAACTGAGTTTGCTACTGTATAAATTCCACTATGAGAGCAGCAACTTTTAAACAGAGCATGCGTGAGGAAAAAAATGGGCTTGTGCAAGCTCTTGCACGACTTTAAAAGGCGTTCTTACTCCAGAACTGGTACAGGGACATGCATGTGCTTTTTTTTGTTTTTTTTTTTAAGTGAAGAGGGTTGGTCTTTTAAAAAAATTGGGAAAATCCCCCACAATACATTTAAAGGATAAACTATTAATTTGAAATAAATCTTTTATTGAAAGATATGGAAGGGTTGGAGCAAAATTATTTCTTTTTAGCGTGGAGGTAAATGCTACAAAAATATGAATTTAAAGCAGCAAGCAATTGAACAATATATAAAAAATTTTTTAGGCTATCGGGGAAACTAACCATCCACAATGAGAAGCCTTGATGAGCTCAGAAACCCCAAATGACATAGAGCCCATGAAGTCGTTCCTGGTGGTTCTGTCCCAGTCCCATACTTCAATTGACAGACGTCGATCTTTATCTGATGCTTTCAGCTTACTGTACAGACACACACACACACACACAATCAAAAATGTATTCATAGTTAAATCTTTGCATTTTGATTTTACAGGAAGCTTTTAAATGATTTTCTAAAAGATCAAACTGACTCACAAGGTGAAGGACTCGTTCCAGCAGGGATTGAGAGAGGAACGGATGGTCCTGGTCTTCTGTTTGGTCTCGTTCTTTGGGTCTGGAATGAGCTTGAGTTTGACATAGGGGTCTGATAAACCATTTGGATCCATGGGAATCAGATTCCTGGCTTCACCCACTGGAAGGAAAATATAGACAGATTGGTGGATTTTACACACATTAATCTTAGCAGCAAAGGAAAGCATCGTAGGTAGTTTTAGTTATTGAACTCATCTACATGATCAATAGCCAAAAGTGTATCTATTGAATGTGCTATGGAATCTGAATCCAATCGTGCACAATGCAAAACTACAATTATAGTTCAATTCATGAGTAAAAATGAATTAGAATTTATATATTTACTGAGAAAGACAGAGGGAAAGGAGGATGACTTGGTAAAAGGCACTCTACTGTACTAGAACAGAAATCTAAACTTCATGATATCCCAGATGATATCCACTCCACCAGAGGATGTGGTGGAGTGGATCATTTACAATGATCAGCACCCTCTCCATCAGGCAGTGGTCAGAGAGCAGAGCACCTTCTCTCAAAGGCTGCTCCAGCTCTGCTGGCGAAGGGAAAGATACAGGAAATCCTTCCTGCCATATGTCATCAGATTGTACAATAAAAATAAACTCTTGTCTCAGCATGCAGTAACCGGCGCTACACTGTTCTCCATATAATACATGAATTATAATCTGTTCACTGTACCTTATACTTAATTTATTTTACTTATATTTTAACCAATACTGTTTATGTATACATTTTTATACTGCATTTAAATTGTAAATACTTCTAGATGTTATTTTATTTTTTACCTCATTCTGTTGTGACTGTCACTATGAGTAATGCTGCTGCTATGCTGCAATTTCCCAGCTTGGGATAAATAAAGGTCGTCCGTCCTTCTATCTATCTGTATGTCTGTCTGTCTGTCTGTCTGTCTTCTGTCTGTTAGCCGTATACTGTAGTCGCACTAATTATGAACATTAATGTAGGCATGGGTTGATTTTTTGAGCTGCTTCATTGTTAAATTTTTTTAAATAAGTTTCAGATGGCTGAGAATGAGAATTAACCCAGTTGTGTTGAAAGTCATATCTTTTGTTATTGTTGATAAATTTGAATAATTTTCACCTCTTTGATCAAGTGGCATTAAAAGCTCCTTCGATGAGTGTTTTTATAACAGTTATAAAACTTTTAGCCGTTCTGTACAATGGAGTATTATGGTTATACGTAGTAAGAATCTTAAAACTACGAGACTAAAGTTGTAACATTATGAGAATGAAACCACAATATTGGTCGTAATAATGTTAAAGTCGTAACATTATTAGATGAAAAGACTTGTAAGAGTTTACATTGACATAGGCTACATCTTTAATCTCAAAATAATTAGACTTTATTTTCAAAATATTAGAACTTTTTTCTCTTTGTGTTATAACTTGATTCTAATAATTATGAATTTAATCTCTTAAAGATGCAGCTTTCAGACTGTTGGTATGGTCCTGATACCCCATCGTACATTTTTAACTCAGCAGCATTGTTTTCAGAAGATAAATTCATTAGGATTTATATCGGTTTGGTTTTTCAACATCACTTTCTACTACTCAAAGATCATCGTTCTTCTCTTACCAAGTTTTTCTGCTTTTTTCACCTCAGCTTTGTGAGGCTCTTTCATGTCCCTTGTCATGTTCAGTTCACCCCATAATCAAAGGCTCCCTATCATCATCATCATCATCATCATCATCATCATCATCATCATCATCATCATCATCATCATCATCATCATCATCACCCTCAATGTCAGAGAAGATGGAGGGAACTTTCTTCTCCGCAGTCACATCATCTCTTCAGAATGAGGGACTACTCTAAAGTCAGCAACATAATGCAAGCAACTGCCCCACTGTCACTTCACTACATACTTACCAAAGACAGGTAATTGCTGTAAGTCAGTGTCTTAATGCAATCTGCTGGGTTTTTGTTAGAATACTTTGGAATAAAAAGCTGAAACTGACTAAACTGTTTGACCATCAGGAAACATTAGAATATTTGTACTTAATTTGGAATATGCTTTTATGATGCCATTAAATTGACCTTTTATTTACGTGTTGTAAATTGGAGCATTATAAAGACACTTTGAATCAATAGTTGTTTCATTTCTATTTATTTTGTAGTAAAAATCCAAGAATTTAGCAATTCTCTTTGTGACAGGCACTCGTTATCACTTCCACGGGCTTCATTCTCACTTGAGTTGATGGACAGTTGTTCCACTATCATGCAAGATTTTTACTGCAATACATCTGAACTGATCAAAATATTAAAACCTTATCTGATAAAACATTAAAATGTGATAATACATGTTTTCCTCCTCTAAAAATCCTTGAAGTCATTTTTACTGGCAAAAAAATGTGTTGCAGATTTTGTGATTTTGTTTTGAGCAACAGTGTGAATTGCTGTTGAATTGTAGCAAGAAATGCATGATGCCCAAATTAGAGAGCAGGTGATCATTCTTCCAATATAAAGTTTATATTTGAAAAATCAGTCAATCAATTTATTTATTGTCAACTACATTTTGCATTGTAATCGAGATTTAAGTTTCAGTTCCATATATCAGTAATATTGCTCTCCACTTGTTGCTAGATTCCACTTTATTTGCCACTGCTGTAGAAGGATTGACAAGATATACCTGAAGCAGGTTTAACAAATTCAGATTCAACTCTCTGCAACTCTAAATTGATCTAGCCAAAAGTCAGGCACTGAGTGTTCGGTTTCACAACAGTTGCTACCAATTAGTTTAATCAATTTTAACTAGGTCCACCCAGAGTTATGCGCGTGCACAACAAGTATGAAAAGCCACTATCAGTGGAGTAGCGATCAGACGAGTCA